TATGCACACACAAAATTAATTACACAGCATGTTACCTTGGTTTTATTTTTCTTCTTTTGCCAGTGAAATAAACAGTCATAGACTATCACATCTACCACTAATTCATTCCCACACCCCACACTCCCATGTCACTGACCACTGGTCATTACTTTGCATACCAATACAGACTGGGTCACTGCTGGACACTGTCCATTCAGGGAGATGCGACCTCATCAGCATCCTCCCCCTTCAGTGGGACAGTGGAGGATGACCACAGCCTATTGTAGTGCCATTGAAATGGTGTCCAGAGCAGGAGCAGATTCATGTGGCCGAGTCCGTGTGATTGATGCCAAACTGACCCTAGCAGTGGCCTGTCTCACAGTGTGGTGGAGAGTGGGCAGCAATTAGCCTGAATTTGTCTGTTTAAGTGAAAAAATTCACTAAAAATCCAAATGAACCCCAGCAAATGAGTCCCTTTACATGTCAGTCTTTGTCACTATTTCTTCTTCGAGTTTTTCATAAATTTTTCCTACAATACCTCCCAATTCAAGTTGTAAAAAGTTACAAACAAGCTAATGGCAAGTGATCATAGTGTCCCTCCATGGCAAAAATATTCAAAATAATAGTAAATATATCAAGCAAAACAGTGAAAAAAAGCTTTAAGTGGGCGCAATTCTTATTCTTTAACTTTTTCTGCAACTGAACCAGAACAAACCAAGTATATACATAGAGCACATTTCCCCTCTGAAAATTCTAATTTCAAATTAACCAGCTACTGGTGACGCTTTTACCAAAGAGAAAACTTTCTCCAGGGAATTTTGTCAGTGCAAATGCAATTTCCTTGAAATTTCCCACTCCTAAACCAAACACCTGTTGAAGACCCAAAGGGAGGAGTTCTCATTGCTGCCTTTGCTCCTGCATCCTGTCATGGGGAGAACTGTCACCACTTTACCACTGAGCTGCTAATGCTTCTTTACTCTATGTTTAAAAAGGGTGATAACATCCTTCCCTGCGGTCATCACCGGGGAAACTCCACAGGATGCAGCATGGTTCCCTGACTCCCCAACTTTATAAAAGGCTGTGAAGTGACAGAAGAGTCTGTGGGACCAGTCATCAGCTTGTACTTAAAACATCTTCACTGTCAATCTCACTCTGTCCAACTTTATCTTTCTCCAACACTTTGTCATGCCTTTGTATCCCTTTATCAAAAGACAGTTATAGCTAACAAAAAAACAGCTCTTAATCTAGACCCACTTTGAAGGTGAAAGTGGAAGTTAATTATTTGTCATTGTGACACAGCACACCACT